CATCAATTCTCCTCCTATCATCCCTAGACATTGTCCAGCTCTCTGAAGCACAGCAAGTAATGGCAAAGACCATGGCCTGTATCAGGCGCACTTTAGTCTCCAGACTGACATTGTTGCTCAATACCATGGAGAGGTCTCTGACAGCACTTTGCCAATGCAATTCATCTTTTAATTTCCTGGCTGCTGGTACCAAGAGAGTTGATTGTAGAGCCAAGCAAACAGAAGCTGTCAACAGCCTCAATCTCTTCACCATCTATCATGATGTTGCCAATCGGCCCAGGGTGAGAATCTTTGTTTTCTTGATGTTGAGCTTCAATCCACATTGAAGGCTGCGATTCTTGACCTTCTGCAGCAAGTGCTTGAGGTCCTCTTGTTTCAGCAAGCAGGGTTGTGTCATTTTGCATAACTCAGATTGTTGATGAGTCTACCTCCAATCCAATGCCACACTTCTATTCATAGAGCTCAGACTACCGGATAATCTGTTCCACATATAGATTGAAAAGATATGGAGATAAGGCATAGCTTTAACATGTATTCCGGCTTTGCTGCCTATATTTGTAGATAGATTTTTATTGGAACACTGGCACACTCCTTTACAGACAGCGGCTGTTTTGGTAGTGGTAGAGTTGAATAAGGGAACTCACACGGTATAGTCCATATGTAGTTGTGTTGCTAACCCAAAGGCAGCAGCTCTCTGGCACTTCAGACCCCTCAGGGGCTCTACGGGAGAAAGCTGGGAAGTCTCCTGCTGTGTACCTCACAGCTTCAGAAACACTCTTAAGAGTCACCTATGGTTTGTCTCCAACTCAACAGCAATGAGGTTTTTGAGATATAAATCAAATGACCTCACAGCCAACAGAACCATTAACAACCTCTGACCTAACGTGTGATGGTGAAGTAAGTTTCTTCCCTTTTAAGTTGTACCTTCTTTTTGCCTGACTATTCTTTCAGATCGTATATCATTTTCTTAAAATCTGTTAGCCTGATTTGAAATAGTGGTACTTTTGATTTATTTTATGGACATCTCTTTGCGGTGTGCTTTTTGTTGTCAGAAGAAATGTTTTTCTGCTCTGTGGTCTTTCTTTCATTTTAATTATCCGTATTCTCAACTTTAATTTCACTCTCATCACTTTCTATTCAGCGTGAAACTTGGTCCTGAGAGAAAAATTTTTTTTTTGTGAGAAAAATTTATATTTAGAATTAATCTAAACTGGACTCAGTTTAGATGATACCAATTTTGTTGGCAACATCTAAAGCATCATAATTAGGAGCAAGTCGAACATACCACCTTCTTCTGTCCATCAGGCCTAGTCAAAGTGTTGACCTTAGCCACATCAATGTCATAGAGCTTCTTTACAGCTTGTTTAATTTGGTGCTTCTGGGCCTTGACATCCACAATGAACACAAGTGTGTTGTTATCTTCTGTCTTCTTCATGGCTGACTCAGTGGTCAGGGGAAATTTGATGATGGCATATTGGTCAAGCTTGTTTCTCCTGGGGGCGCTCTTCCAGGGGTATTTGGGCTGCATTCGGAGTCTCAGCATCTTAGGCCACCGGAAGGTGGGTGACGTGTGGATCTTATTTTTTTTTTGGCTGTGATGCCCTTCAGGACTGCCTTCTTGGCCTTTAATGCCTTTGCTTTGGCTTCAGTTTTGGGAGAGGCAGGGACTTCCTTCTTAACTTTCGGCGCCATCTTTGAAAAAGCGAGAAA